AAGACTAAGGGTCAATTGACTGAAATCAAGAGTCTCAGAAAAACAATTATCACTCTTGAACGAAAAAAGTTAGGAATATCGGCTTTGTGTAGACATAAAGAGAGGAAATTTTTCTATTCATTACTCCTTTTAATAGTCTCAATCAAGAAGGAAATAGTTTCAGAATATTATTTTCGACAATCTCCACCTTGAACTCATCTGATTGGTCAATTGCTGATCAATCGAATTTCGATATAGTTCGATGGCTCCGGCTCTTCTCTCGAGAATGGTGAAAGCGACAGATTTCTATAACGTTCCTATCAAAAGCTATTGAAAAAGCAGTTGAGCATATTATATTTTGAAATGGTTAGTATTTCAAAAAACACAAAGAACCGATCTCATATCTGGTTAATGCTGAAATCAATTGATGGCATATAACAGATGGTTTTTATCAATATCATTGAATAGTTTACTAAATGTATTCTTTAATTATTTTTCTTCTTTAGAAACTATTCCATCTGATGTTTCAGCTAATCCTGACCAAATAGAAATAGCTCGTCTTTCATCTATAATCACTACGCAAACAAATGATATATCTGATTTGAATGCACGTATTAGTGCATGTCAACAGCATTATGAAACACTAATAAGTCGTCAAAGAGAAGAATATTCACGTGAAAAACAATCAACTGTTATGCGTTATGCTCAAGCTGAAAAATCAAAATTAGATTCGGATAAACGATGTGAAATTTTAGCAACAAAAAATCAAGAATTATTAAAAGAAAAAGATAATTTACAAATAAAATTATCAGAATTTAAATTAATGAATACTAAATTACAACAAGCTTATGAAAATAAATTAAGTGAATTAACCACAACAAAAAAAGAATCAGAAAAAATCAAAGAATTAAATCAATCAATTGATGCTACTTTAAAATCAACATTAAATCATTTAAAAGGTGAATCTTTACAATTAAAAGAACATCGAGAATTAAATGAACGATTAAAAAAAGAATTAAATGAACAACATGAACTTAATGAACAATTAAATTTACAATGTAAACAACTTACAGAAGGTAACTAAAAGAGTATATTATTAGAAAGTATAGAATTCGAATGATATTCTTCGAGTTGTTGAATAAAAAATACAAGATTTCATGAGATTAGGAAGATACAGACATAGTCTAATTTCTGGTCATTTTACTATAGGAATACTCTTCTTTTGTTTCTGATGAAAATGTTAATTTCCAGTTAGTTATATGACTTCCGAGATCTCGGTATCCTATTCAATTAAAGATAAGATGTTGAGTTCGGGTCTGAAATTTTTGAATCTAATGAACTCTATTCGTCTGAAAAATGTATAGGGTGTGATAGTCATCGAATAACGAAAGCCAAAGAAAATATCTCAGATCTTTGAGATGACTAGTCAATTTCGATTAGAGAATTTCATTGAGAGTATATTAACGCACGATTTGACCGAGTCTACGTTCGAAAATTTTGAATTTGATGGGCTTTAATTATCAGCGATTAATTTTTGCTTTTTCGCCATCTTACACTTGACCTGTTGTTAATAGAGATAATAAATTCTTTCTTAAATATATAAAAAATTGGTATTGTTTTAGCTGCTCAAGCAATACCAACGGACGATGAACGTACACAAGCATTTGATGCATTACTTAATGAACATAATGCTCTTAAAATAAAATTAACAAATATTCAAGATGAAAATAAATTATTTCGTGAAAAACTTAAATCATCCGATGAAGATCGTTTAGCATTAGAAAATGTCATTGAAAATTTTCGTCAAAATACTTTACGTGAAAAAGAAACAACAAAAAAATTATATGATGATTTATTAGCTGCACGTCAAGAAGATTCTGTTGAAATATCACGATTAAAACAAATTGAACAACTTTATAATCAAACATCAGCTGATAATGCAGATTTAAGACAATTACTTGAAAAAGAACATCAATTACTTGAACTAACACAAAAATTAACAGAAAAAAATTCAATTTTACAAAGTGATTATGAACAACTTCAAATACTATATAAACAAACATCTTCAGATTTTGAAAATTTAAAAAAAATAAATGAAGAACAAAAAGATCAAATACTCAAATTAGAAAATATTGAAAAATCTCTAAAAGGACAATTAAAAGAATTAGATGAAAAATATCAAACATTAAATAAATCATATGAACAAAGTGTTAAACAATATGATGATAGTCTTATTGAAATTCAAACATTGAAAAAGAAACATCAAGCTAATACAAAAGATTTAATTAAACAGTTACAACAATTACAAAAACCAAAACCTACAAATAATAGTAATGAACAATCATCTGTTCTACTCACTAGGTAAACAATTCTTTTTCAAATTTTATTTTAAATAAAGACGAACAAGTCTAAGAAACTTTTCTATACAAACTCAATCCTTAAATATTTTATCTGTTCAACATATCATCTATAAGTTTTGAAATTTCAATCACCCATTATGTACCAACCTTATGTCTATATAATAGAAGGCAAAAAATGCAGTAGAAGAGCGAACCAAACAAAAACCAAAGGGGGGGAAATAATTTAAAAAAAGAAAGCAAAAAAAAACGAACACAGATAATGAATACTTTTAATAGAATTTCTTTCTTACGAGATATGCTAAGTATATACTTAAATAACTTTCAATCATCTTTTTTTGAATCATTGATTTTTTTTTTTTCGATAATTTAGTCAAACAAAACCCATTACAAATAAAGAAAATTCCAATGATAATATATCAAGTCGTGAGTCTCCAACAGGTTCATATAGTTCATTGAATGAGATTACTCCTAGTTCCTTGTCAACACCTGATCATATTTCACCTCATCCACCATTCTATCATCATCAACAACAACAACAGCAACACCCTCAACAACAAGTTTTACCTGATGAAGATCAAAAAGTAGTTGTTAATATAGTTGATATTGATCGTCAAAGATTAATTGATAAATTATTAAAACAACAAAAATTACTTGTACGACGTAATGAAAAAATCGAATTTTTAAATGATCATATACAATTATTAACACAAGATTTACAAAATAAACGTAAAATAATTCAAACATATGCAATGAATGAAGATAGTTTTATGTATACATCAAATGAATCAGATTTAATTAAACAACAATTAGCACATAAAACTCGAAATTCATCATTAATGGCAACATTATATAATCGTGCAACAACAACTGTTAATCAAACAACAAATAAACTATTTGACCAAACATCACCAATGACACTTGAAACAGCATTAGATATAATGGGAAAATTACAATCAGTTTTAGAAGATACACTTTTAAAAAATATAACATTAAAAGAAAATGTTGATACATTAAGTAAAGAAATAGAAAGATTGTCAAAACGAACAATAAACTAGATCTTTTTTTTTTCTTGTTTTTATTCTTTTTGGATACTGTCAGATTTATTTATTTATTTTTCTTTGTTTTCGTTGTGCAACAGTGGAATTATTAGTTGTATTAATATAAATATATTAAACATATATTTATACTTTATTGCTTCTTAACAAAAAAATATCGATTTATTTGTTTTATTTTGTTTTTTTTTTTTTTCAGATAAAATAATGCCAATTGTTAAATCAACTTCAACAGTAAGTGAATCAACAACAAATGAAGCACGTGAAGCACTTGATTGTCTTCATGAATTATCACAATTACTTAATACTGGTTTAGATAAAAAAACATTAACTGCATGTGTTAGATTACTTGAAGCTGGTGTTCATCCTGATGCGCTTGCTCAAATTATTCAAGTTCTTAGAACAGAAACACGACCAACCAAACTTTAATTTCATTTATTACATAGATTCATTTTTTTTTTGTACAAAGTTCTTTCTAATATCTGATAAATACGAACAAACATTTTCTCTATCTTGTTTTATATATGATTGTTTTTATTTTATCTTGAATGATGTTTTTCGAATCTAAATGTCTCTGAAAATCCTATCTTAAATGTTGCTTAAGAGAAAGAATATTATTTAAAGTAGAATTTTAAATAAGTCTATATTTAAGTAGCAGGTACTATTGTACTTTTCATTATTATTATTCTTAATCAGAGAAATGATTTAAAATGAACAAAATAACTTAATAAATTTTATGGTATGATCATTGAGACTGAAATTTAATTATGAAATCAATCTATTATCAGTCAAAGATATATTATTTCCTTATTCTTCCAAGTAGCAATTCTAGTAAATAGAAACATGATGAAAAAGACAGGAGTTTACAGAAACATTATTTTTATTTTCTCAATCATGACTACATATCTATTTCAATCGCGCAGTCAACAATCTGGATCTAATGAAGTTTGATACCCAGATTATTCTGTTTTTGAGACTTCCGAGTTTACATTCGCCTAACCGGATGAACCGTGTACGTGACTGAATATATCTGTGAATATGTAAGAGTGTCAGTTCACTCATACAGTCATTCGCACAAGTAAACTAGTCAAGAGTCAGTTACATAGAGATGATCGGAAAAAGTGACCTTGATATGTAAAGTCGATATTTAGAGTTCAGTTTTTGATTTCCCTTTATCAAATTAATCCTCATTTTATTTGTACATACCTAATTACTATTCACTTAATGAGTACTAGATTCTAACACTAGAAATCTGGATGTGATTCGTCAACTTGATGTTTGACTATATCCCTATCAGTGTCTATCAAATTTTATACAATGCTAATAGTACATGATAAGATCTGATTGTCGGATTGACTCTCCTGGGTTGTTGAAATAATATAATTTGATCATTTTTTCATATTTTGCATTCGAATAAGATCTCTGAATACTTATATTAGTACATTTACATAATCAAATTTTCTTTACACAATGATCTCTCTTTAACTTTTCTTTCATTGTTGGTATCTATAAACGAATAAAAGTTTTCTTTCTAGATTTCTGTTTGAACAATATCAAGAGTCCAAAGAACAAAAGTCACTTTTTTTGATTTCTTTTTAACAAATTAATCATGAATCCATTATCACCTTATCATTCAACATCAAGTGAAGTGTTATTAAAACGTTTTCGTTTATGGAGACGTCAATATCTTCATGTAGTTATTTACACATCATTATTTTGGATATTTGTTGATGTATTTTTTATAATGTTATTTTCTGATTGTACAAAAGAAATTATTATTCCGTGTTCATCATCGTTATCAACTAATAAAAATTCTAAAATAATCGATCATAATGTTCAATTGCATCCAAAAATAATTATTGACAAAATAAATGAAAGAAAAAAAGTTGTATTTGATAATACAACTATGATTGACGCAACAAAGAAAAATATTGCTCCTAAATGGTGGAAAATTGATCCAGGTTAAAATTTCATTTTGATTGCAAAAAAAATAGAAACATATGTATTTTTTTTTCGACAATAGGAGCAACAAATCCAATGAATTGGCATGGTGAAGGTGGTCGTGCTGTTGTTGTTCCAGATGAATTAAAAGAAGAAGCTAAAAAACGTTTTGCAGAAAATCAATTTAATATTCTTGCTTCAGATCTTATGGCTCTTAATCGATCAATTAAAGATCAACGATCAGCAAGGTTTTTGTATTTTATCTCAATTCATTTTTATTTACTTTTTTTTTTAAATTTTAGATGTCTATCACATAAATTTCCACCTGATTTACCATCAACATCAATTATTATTGTATTTCATAATGAAGGTAATTCAACATTACTTCGAACATTAACAAGTATTATTTTACGAAGTCCAATACAATATATACATGAAATAATTATGGTTGATGATGCTAGCATCAATCGAGGTAAGATTGATATTCTTATTTCATTTTTTTTTCTTTTATATCTCTCATATTTGTTATTTTTCAATTATAGAATATCTTAAAGATACATTAGAAGCATTTACTAAAGAATTACCTGTTTCAGTTCGTATATTAAGAAATACTGAACGATTAGGATTAATGAAATCTCGTTTACGAGGTAAATGGAATAGACATAAAATGATGATAGAAAAAATATTTTTGTTTAATTTAAAGGTGCTCAAATAGCTACTGGTGATACATTAACTTTTCTTGATGCTCATATTGAATGTTCACCTGGATGGCTACAATATTTATTATATGAAGTTAAAAAAGATCGGTATGTATTAAGTTTAATTAATTTATTAAATAGATATTCAATAGATATAGTTCTCATATCTGTTAGCGTCAGTAGATGGTGCTTACTGACGCTAAACGTTTATGTTATGTTATCTATTTTTTGAATCTCTGATTTGATTTGTTACGTAATCTCTCAACTATGATTCATCTCGTGATCATCTTTTTGTCTTTCGTTATTGCGCAGTTGTTGATGTTCTATCGTATCGATCACTCGATACTCAATATATTCTATATATGACACGACGACAAAGTCGATTATTAAAACATGTTTAGCTCTCTAATTTTGGCAGACTAAATATTAGTTCTACCATTGCTACATAATCCCNTTGTAACGGAAGCATGGTATTAAAATGGTTTGATTTGAATACATTATGTTTTGTTTCCGTTGAATCATTTTGTCTTCATTAAATTAACCATTTTAATGCGTAACATAGAAGGCATTTTTAAGGATTATTTGTGACAGTTTTTCACCATTATAATGATGTAAATTTTCGGCCATTTAAATGCCATTTTTTTGTTACAAGTTTTGGCTGAGTCCTTAACAATTAATCTTATATGTGTAGTAAATTGTCATATCTCTGGAAGATGAAGAGGAATGAAACTGAAATGGGGGATACTACGAGAGATATCCCCGCTATGACCGCAAAGTTCCAACACCGTCTCATGTAATGTGTCCGAAATCATATTTTGAAAAGATAAAGATAGACAATTTTTGTTTCGAGGGAACGACTTACAAGAAAATTCAGAAAAATAATTATAGTGCGGTGCAAGGTCACACAATTATTACGCTTCTAAGAAAATGGTGTAAAACGGTCACAAATAATGCAAAAAAAAATGGTTCTATTTGTAAACATTATTTTTCATAAATATTAATCATTTTATCTCCATTAAATTAATCATTTTAATGTGTAAATGAGTAGGCATTATACAGGGTTATTTGTGACAGTTTTTCACCATTTTAATGATCGAAATTTTCGACCATTTTAGCGTTGTAAATTTTGGCTGGGATATTCCAAGATAAGTGGAAGTTCTTTAAAAGTTTCAAAGTTAATATCAACGCATTTCTTATTATTTATATCTGTCACCAATAATGCACTATATGTGATAGTAACATCTCTAAGTAAATATGATAAAGTTTTTTGGTAACAAATTGTAAAAATTCACTACAAGTCAATAGAATATTTCGTATTCAATAGATCCAATAGATTTTTATAGATAAATATTTTAAGATCAATTCAAATTTATTTTTTCTTTTCGAATTATAATTATTTACATGTAGAACTATTATTCTGATGCTATTTGTGGACGAAAAACTGGAAAAAGATAATTAGTCAAGTCAACGTAAATGTCAGATAGATATAATTTTAATCGTCGATATGTTAAACGAATAAGTCGAATAAGAGTTTGACGAAACAAGGCTCCAGTAAGTGTATAAATGTAAAAAGGAATACTATTTCCAACGTATGTAAGAGAGAAATCAAAATTTATAATAAAATTTTCTATTGCTGTACGAAGTGGACTTCGGGTTACGTGAATAGTAAACGTCAAATAAAGTTGATGTATAGCTTGTGGCAACGAAAGAAGAGTTAAGAGAATAACTTGAAGAAGAAGCATACCAGTGAGAGAACCTTTATTATATCGTATTCTTCTTCGTTTTATTTTTTTGTTGATATGATTCATATGTATGACCATACCAATAAATGGTTCAATTGTCCGACGAGATCGATTTATATTATGAATAGTTAAAAAGCCAAAGATTAACATTAATAATGATGGAATAATGACAGTGGAACTTGCATATACAACATCATTAAAAATTCGGCATGTTTCTGTCATTCCATAACATTTAAGTGGAGCTTGAGGAAGATTAGTATTATAACAAAAAAGAGATTGTGACCATAAAAGAAATGATAAAATATGGACAATAATAATGCTTTTATGTGCAATTCGACGAGAGCTTAAAAATCGTCTTCTAACTTGAGGACTACTGACAAACCACCGATCAATAGTAGCGAGTACTATAAGCCAAACTGATGTTGAACGAAATCCATAGAGAAGAAAAATACGTATTTTACAAAGTAAAGAATTTGTATTCGTCGGATCAGTTGATATCCATCCAGCTATAAGACGTGTTGGAAGGCCAACTAGAACTATTCCGAGACTAGATACTGATGAGCCGAGAAAATAAAGAACACACGGATTAGAACGCAATTTTGGTTGTGAAAGTACTAATGTATTAAATGAATTTCCAATAATACCAAATAAAAAGACGAGTAATGTCATATAACGATTGACTTGTGCAGAAATATCATTGAGTAAAATTATAGCAGAAGAATCAGTTGTGTTTGACATGAGTTAAATAATAAATGCTAGAGAAAAAAAAAAGCACTTTCATATATATATCTACATTATTCTTTTTCTCATGAACGAGGGATACTTGACTTTGATGTTCTAAACTTTGTGCGTGTCACCATCACGTGTCGTTTTTATATGTGTTCGGATCCAATTATTTGTTGCTAGATTAACTTTGATATATTCATGAATAAAAGCACCGTTGGCAACCCACGTTGTTTATCAAAGAAATGATAAGTGCTTTTCTTGAAATCTTTTTCGGACAAAGAAATCTTGATAAAAATGTATTTTTGAATTATAGGCAAGTGAAGAATTTTCTTTCTACTGATCAAATTGGTCTACTTATTTATTTAAAATATGTAGGTCCCTTCAAAGTATTCCTATATAATCTTGATCCATGGAATAGTAGAAATCAAAATGAAGACGAATTCAATTACTCAAGTATTATTCTAAATATAATCATTAATATTCATAATGCAAAAGATAAAGATGATGTCATAATCTTTAGAAACAAATGTTTTTAAGTTTAATACTATGCATGAAAGAAAGGATAGAAAAATAACTAAAAGAAAAGCTGGCATTTTAATCCTTGAGTTTTATAATCTTCTCAAGGTAATCAATCTAAAAGCTCACAATTACTTTTCAAATGCATGATTTTTCAATGTATTTCCTTGTAATCTGCCATCTTATTTTACGAAACATGTTTTTGCAAGCAATCAGCCAAAATGTTTTTTACTATTTTCGATTTATTACGAACGGCAACGACGTCATGATACTATTTTCACCATTTTCTCGGATCTATGTTATAATATTTCTTTAGAATGTAAATGACTTGAAAGTTATCAGAATGATCTGACATTTATTATCTCAATAGGATTACAGAAAATAACATTTTGAAAGTTTGCACGTAATAAAAACATATTTACTTACTCTAAAACTTTTTCATCAAAAATACACTGTACAATAACAACCAAACTCTTTACATATATAATGAGCCCTTTCATGTAACCTGCTGATAGTATTAGTAGAAAAAAAGAATATTTGACAATATAAAAAGACGACAAAAAATTTTGATTACAACTTTTTTTCTCAGTAAACTTAGAACTCTCCTTTTTGGGTTTTACATCAAAGCACTTGACTTGAAAAATGATTATAGTTAGGAAAGAATTCTTTAGAATAAATTTAAGGATCTTGATATGATTTATCACATTTGTATTGGTAAGTATTACAGAAAAAAAAAATAGTTCCAGTCCTATTCTGTAATGTGCTTTTTCTCTCTAGTTTTCGAAATAGTCTCAGAAAAAATGAATCATTTTTAAAATGTCATTAAAGTCCCGATATAACTCACTTTTATGTTTTTACATGAAGAAGACTTCTATAGGTTAAGGACAGTTAAACTATTCTAATGACTCTTTCAAGATGAAAAAGTTTACATCTATCATTTATTTTATTCTTCAAAAAAACAAAGAACTTCAATATTTAACTTCATTTATATTTTAAATACATAGTGACGTCAAAGTCATTTCTTTTAGCCAATGAAGTCAACTTAATATATTCTTTGATGTTTTTTTTTTTAGTTAACAATGAAGGAAAGAAAAGGATTTTCATATTACATTCAATAGAATGTATTAAGCAAAAAGAAAAAGAACTTTCTATAAAAATAGATCTTTTCAATATTTCATAACTTTCCATGAAGTTAAATAAATATATGGCAATTGAATTTAAGATTACTGTTCACATGTAATACCTGTCAAATACAATTGCATACACTTTTTTCAAATTTTGATCAGAGATGGGATCGGTTCGCGCTTTTTTTAAAACCAATCACGTCAGAAAATGAACAAACAGATTTCTCATAAGTTAAAGTATAATCGTATGAGATTGCGTTTGGAGACAAACATATCTATTACTTGAGAAACAAAGCTCGAAGCATGATGAATTATTGATGACAGAAAACCGGTAATATGTAACCATGTGTTTTATGTACCCTATGAGCATGTTCATATGGCAGTAAAAGATAGTGATTTGGCAATGTATCATCTTTCTGTTTTCATTAAAAGATGCGGTTTTTTAATTTATTAATTAATTATAAGGAAAAACATTTTTCCTTGCTAAGTGAGAAAGGTTCACTAATAATTTTTTCGGTTAAATTGCGTTTGGAATAATCCGTCTAGTTTTATTTCATAAAATGAAATTTTTGGATATATTTGTTTATTTGGTAAGTAATGCATTTAGTAAATACGTATATCAACAACACCTACATAGTTTTAGAAATAATAGAATAATTACATACATGTTCGATCTTTAGGAATGATTTATCTTGAGCTTCTTCATAATTGATGACAAATTCAGATAGATATAATAAAAGAAAACGATTATCTTCTTTTAATTGTAGTTGAATATATTAATCGAATGTTTTAAAGTTTTATAACACAGAAAAATATGCAAAGGAATAATATTGTATGAAAACTATAAATATCAAGAAGGAACGAGATTATCTTCATATTTTGAAATTAAAAATGACAACTCTACCGATTATAAAGAATATTTTAAATACGATACTATAAATATAGCAAAATGTAAATGCAGGCATTGTTGTCACAATAATACTATGAGATACTATAAGCTAATGGATTAACTAAAACAACATAGTAGGAGTAAAATAAAAATGAAACATTGTTTAATTTGGCTTAATTGTGAAAACTAAGCTGCATGGCAAATTAATAATTTTATTAATATAGGTTTTTTCATATAATTCTTGAAAAAATTATATGTTACTGACTGTTAGATAATCTCGAAAAATAAAATGAATATCAGTAAATTGGACTCTATGAATTCACACTTAGTCATGATAGACATGAACTACTTAATTCTTCAACAGAATTCAATGGCAAACACCCAAATCTGCAAATTATTATTGAAAAATTTTGTTTTCTTCGTCTTTTAACTAATAGTGAATTAAAACCTATGTGCGTTACGAAAATTTATTGTATCATTCGTTGATTTAGTAACAATCGACTGTATCAACTCGAAAAATTGCTTATATATTACTGCTTATTATGTCTCAGTAATCGACAAAGTCAGATATCTTGTTTAAAAACTAATCTTTATCTTTATTTTGCTTATCAAAAAAGAAACTGATAAGATCAATGAATAAATCAATGAAGCCTTTTTTAATTTCTACAAAACAATAATTTCTCTTGACAATACGATGAATAGTAAAGAATAGAAGTATAGCTCATATCATTTGATTACAAACATGAGTTTTCCACATTTATTTTAATTTGTAAATATTCTTGAAGAATAAAATTGTACTAATTCTATATTTTCTTACCATTGCTACAATACCGACACTCGGAAGTATAAGCTACCGCAAACAATTGATACGAATAGTTTTTCTATAAATAAACCAATGAAAGTTATTGAGTCTGAAATTATTCTGAGATTTAATTACCATGATACTCTAGTAAAAACGCGAATATTAGATTTAAGTATGCTTGAAATTGTCATTAGACATAAATCTAACTATTTATGAGATATTCATTGGAACTCATTATTTTAATTAAGACATGAATTTCTAGTCCATTTGCTAACTACGTCAATCTTGAAAAAAAACTAAAACAAATTATTATTTGTTAGAAAATTTACGTATAGTTATTTTTTTATCTATCATAGTTTTAAATTTCAAACTGATAAACAACAATTATAAATTGGTTGAAAATGAAAATTCTTTTCACGATATTTCTAAATTATTAAAACAAAATAGTTTTATAAAAACACGAAGAAACTACAGTCCTTTGGTCTTAAATTCAGACTGAAATTTTGATTTTTTTCAGTTTTGGTATTTTTTAGTCGTTTTTATTTTTCATATGTAAAAAAAAGTATTTATTACATATTGTAACTATGGTCGTATAGAGGGGGTGACACACTACAATCAACGCTATTTAGAATAGCGACAGCTATTGAGAAATAGAAATAATGACTCATCTCATGCATAGATAAGACCTATAGTATTTTGATTTTTTTATACCAGTCTTACGTGTTTCTGACCTTTTTATTGATTATATATTTACTTATACACGGCAGCTATCATTTGCCAATAGCGGTTTAATTAATTGTTATTAATTATTTAATTATAATCAAAATGGACATTGACCCTGACAATGATGGTGGTGAACATGAGGGAATATCGACAGAAATGGTCAGAAATATGATTGCGCATACTCATAAATATTGTGATATGCTTATTGATGACGATCCCCTCTTAGAAGGATCTATAAATAATCTAAAGAATGCGAAAAATTATGAAGAAGAAGAAAATGAAGATGAAGCTGATGATATCAATATCGAAATAGATGATAACATTAAATAATTTTCATCAGGTACAAACATAATAAATAGAACTATGGAACTTAGTGATTAGAATACTTAAGAGGCATTTAAAATGTTACTTTTTTGTATAAATCAGTTGATATCTATATAAAATATATAAACTTAAAAATTTGAAAAAATTATGTCACACTTTTTTCTCACACATTTTCTTTTAACGTTTTTATACATTCAATTCAATGATCTGTTACTCATATTATATCATTATATACCTTATAGTGTCCTCTATCGAACCCCTAAGTATGGTGATTAAACAATGAGACATCGTTGTAAGGAGAGATCATCAAATAATTCCTCCCTTAATCTGAATTTGAGACCAAAGGACTGTAACATTCATATATAAAGTTTATTACATAAGTATATATAAGAAAATTTATGCATTAAGACTCATGTATAGCGTTGTTACAATCTCTACTGTTAGATTCTATTCATAAAAAAAAAAGAACCGATCCTCTCTAATATATAAAAGTGAATAATAAACACGCGACAACTTTATATCCACTAACTATGATGATTTTGTCATTCAATTGCGTTGAAATGAAAAAAGACTGACTAATCAGTTTTGTTTTCTATTAACTGTTGTCCCTGAACATCTCATTTTATTCTATTCATTAGATTTGTGACCGTTTCAGTTCTAGTCGTGCAACTGAACTGTATTAGAACGCTCGAATTGAACCGTTAGAACCTCAAGGCTGAAATAAAGTCAGATGTTCAATAAATTAGCTTGCATGAAAAGAACTGGTAATTAGATTTTTTGATTCGTTTTTCTCGATTCGGTCAGCTGAGAGTTGTTATCTCTCTAGTGAAAAACTCTTTGTATTATTCACTTCACAAACATAAAGAATTAATATTCGTAGTAAATCCAATTACAATTGGTGTTAAAAGTATCACGCTACTTTTATCTTTTATTCATTGAATTCGATTATATGTGTAAACAGCAGAAACTAAGCACTACATATATGCATCTGTTTAATATAAAAATGATTGAAAATAATATCCATTGAACAAATACTAATATTAGTACGAACATAAAAAATGACAACCACATGATAGAGAGTGATAATGATTTAATGAAGATGCACAATCTTTAATATACACCTTAACCACATGTTATACCACAATAATCAAAATAGTGTTAAATGATTCCTTTTTTTGTATTGCACTTTTAATTGTTCGTTGTTATCACTGAACCTATTTTTAACTGAGTAATGAATAGTGTCTTCCTGTATCTTGTCATTCGTGAAATAATATAATGTGTAATTGGCTGATACGCCTTACTACTTCAGTAAGCATAACTATGACGTGTACCAATTTCTTTGTTCTCCATTATGAAATACCTCTTTAACTTTTAATGTATTATAAATTTTTGTTCTATGTAATATTAAATTCATAGAGTAAAAATTAAGTGCATTTCATCTAGTTCATTAAAGTATTTATTTCTCTCTGCATATCAGAACGACACAAATAAGAAACTATAAGGAAATGAATTGCTTGTAGCATCTTTTGAAATAATTCTTTTTTAGTATATTAATTCGATGGTTCATCAAGTTTAGCTTTTGTGATGAAACTACTAAGTATTGCAATAATAAGATCTAGTTATTCATTGTATTTTATATGCAAGCGTTTCTAGTATTTGACGAGTATATCTACAATTGCTACCAAAATTATTTAATAAGGTTTATTGTTAATTTTTATTGATTATCTTCTTCGCTAAAAACAATCCAAATAGTGACTTAAATAGAGAAATATATGTACATGATGAACATAAAAATGATTATCGGATACCTAAAGATAAGATTTTCGGAAAATTAAAACGCAAGCTTTTCACCACGTAGAATACTCAAATATAATTCAGTTTAGTCTACACAAAACGAGATTCCTCTGAACTATGTACGGTTCTTTTTGGCTGAAATAAAGTCATCCTACAGAAGTCTTTGAAGTCATTTTCTGCTTTGTGGTATGAAAAATTTTATTTGTGACCTTCAATTGGATAGTTGTATCTCGGTCAAAAAAAGATCATATAAAACTCGAAGACCTCTCATTTTGTTGACAACCGTTTGTTCTATTGTTTCGTGCTGTCTGAATTAAATTGTATTTGCAGTTTTTGCGTGCTGACAAGCTGGAACTTTCATTTCCTGGAAGTTCCAAATTTGGGTATCCGGCAATTATTTTTATATTCTTCTTGTACATATATTCTCTATTCGAATCCCTGTTTGGGTTGCTTTTAGCGATTAATACGACGAAAAAAAAAAGTTGAAAATAAATCCTGTTGGATAATTTTAGTAGCCATTGTATATGTATCTATGGTATTTAACTTCTAGACATATAAACATATTAAATTAAAGTTGTATAGTTTTGCTACGCGAATTTGAAATAAAAGATGGTGCAAAACGTTCAACACTGACTGTATATTCATCGACGAGACGATTCTATTGATATAGGACACGAAAGAAACCATCCTATATTCTACATTCTTTTATTTACTTGATCTTCTTCAGGAATACAATTGCAAGATGCATATATCCACTCAATTAAACTGTTTGTATTTAATACTATTAGTCATATTTATTTTATTAACATATTTTATCTTTCTCGTTTATTTTTGTTTCTTGGAAATCGGTTTGCGAAATCAACACGATAACACACGCATACAGAGGGTAGAAGAAACAATCAATTTTTTTAATAATAAAATGAAAAGTAATCAAGTCTAAGTCCTTGCTCCATTTGATGATGTTGTTGTATCCATAGTATCAACATTAGATTCTCCACTAGCACCTTCGTTTGGTTTATCTTCATATTCAATTGTTCTTGGACCATATATAAGTAAATAAGCCGTATGCCAATCACCACCACCAGATAATTTCAAAACATCTTCTTCAGTCACCGGTGTCACATTTTCATCATCAAACATAAGCCATTCATCTAAATTTAAAACAATATCAATAAATAAAAGAAAAGTTATAATGATGTTTTTTTTTTTTTACTTTGATTACGACGAACCCATGCAACATAATGTCCACTTGAACTAGATCGACCTTTATGTGTAAGAACAGCATTTAATTGATAAAAACCATTATTATTTGAGCCAATATCTGATAAATAAATACATTTTTTTAAAATAATTAAAGTACCTTCTCTCCTCTTCAAGAAAGACATTTTTTGTCAAAGCAATTGAAATTGAATCGGCCTGAAGTGTGATATTTCATAAAACAACATGGCTTTTTTATTCAACACCTTTTTATTGCTAAAATTTTTGATGACTTCAGTTCCGTGCTACTTGAAAAATAAGCTTCGGAATAGTCTGTAGACCTTCATTCTATAAATTTAATTTTTTTTGTTTGAAAGAGCATGCCAACATACCAGGCATGAAAGAGTCCCTTTTTTTTAACTAAGATTTTTCACTATAATATAAAACTATTTTTATTTTAGAGCGTCATTTTTTTCAGTTTTTCGAGACACTGAACTTTCCTCAATTTGAAAATAAGAATTTAAAAAAAACTGGGCTATCGCTACATTTTTTTGTGATAAAAACTCAATTTCCGATTTTTTTCAAAAAAATAACTTTTCTAAAAGGAAGAAAAGAGCATTAATAGAATAAATTACCATCAGGAAATGACGTTGGTAATCGAGTTAAATTTTTTGGTTCAATAACTACTTCACCAAGTTTCTAAAAAGAAATATATGTATGTTATTCTTATTCAATAAAACACTAATTTAGTAGCTGCCCAATTCAAGTTCGAAAATAAGTCAACATTGTATATGCACTTCCATAGCCAAAAACCGAGACAAATTTTTATTAAATTCGAACTATAATATGAGCAAAAGCATTTTATACCCAAAGTCGAATTATTTATTAGAAATAATTCAAATTAATCGAGAAGAAAATATTTTCAGAATATATTCCACTAATAAACATTTGCGCAATACCATCGATTATAAAACCTTACCTCATAAATGGGGTTGATTTTGGCTCCTTGGCTAGTACAAACGGCTCAGCAACGTTATCAGAGTATGTTAAAATCGACTCAATTCTGTCGGTTTTAACTAGGGATGGGAAGTTACCAGTTACTTTTCAGGGTAGCTCCTTAAAACGACGAATTATGACTTCCTACGATCGAATTTTGTCAATAGATTAATTCTTGAATTTTCGAGTTACCTGGTAACGTAACGGGCTGGTAACGATAACTTCCCACCCCTAGTTTTAACAGACTTCAAAAACAACACACCGGTTTCGATATAATACATGTTGATACAACACATTCAAAAAAAAACCGTCGATACAGCACGCATGATATCAATTGGTATACCGGTGGTAGCTCCTTAGTAGTTATTATATGGGATGTTATAACGGCCAAAGTGCCAAAGATAAATTATGAGTTTAGATACTGGTGTGATTGAAGACATCACTGACACTCATTCCGCTGCGTAAGCAACGACGAGCATGGACCACGACTCTTTCACATTGCTACGTGTCCCCATGCCGTGGCACTTATATAAAAAGTTGGCTATGTGGTCAAAAGTACTTCTGCACGGTTTCACATTCTAGGTCAGACTTTTGATTTAGTAAAGACTTCAATAAAATCTTTCTAACATCACTCATCGTAAAAATAATGTGGTCCGTATAATAATTATTATTGAGATAAAAATTTATCTTTGGTCATTGTAACCGTTCTAACATGAAACTTCTGATTCAAATCTTTGTCGAAATAATATCAAATTCGTAGTACTTCATTTATATTCGAACTCGAATTAGGCAACTCATGCGCTAAGTAAATACTTTAGCTCGTTCACGATCAAGTTTTGCATCTTCAGATTTTTTTATTTGTTCTCTCGCTGGCATAAGACGTTTTTGTAATTCTGGTGTACATAAATCAAATACATCAAGTATCATTGAATATTGAACATCCTTTTTAAGACAAAAACCAATACTTGATTATTATTAACGCAAAATTAAAATTATTTACTTTAAGAATTTTTGCATTAACTTTTTCTTTTTCCTTATAAAAAAATCGTACAAATTGAATTGTTAAATAAGCAGGTAAACGTGAAAGATGCGTCTAATAAATACAAATCTAAATAATGAAACCTATTACAAAAAAAAAAGAAATATGCATACAGTTTTAGTGAAAACAGCATCACGATTAAGGACCGTTGAATGTTTTGTTATTTGTTCTTCCAATCTCTGTAGAAAAAAGGAAAATAGAAATTATTTAATTTTAAACTTAAGAAAACTTACATTTTTTAAACCAGTCAATAAATATTTAACATCTAAAAAAAGAAAAATAGTTATAAAAATTTTGGTTATTTCTTCGAATTAAATTTACCTTGACTAATAAAACAGCTAAGTTGAAGTAAACGTTCTTCAGCCACAGTTGTTAGTTCTTCGGGTGCTTCATTACATTTCATTCTAAAGAATTTAAATTTGTTTAAGTAATACTTTAAAACAAAAAAAAAAAGTTAAGATATACATAGATTGAGCACTCATTCCAAAATATTGATCTATAAGACTTTTTTCATTGTTAGTACTTGATACTGTTGTTGTTTCATCATTTAATTTTTTTCCGGGTATATTCATTTGAAGTATTTGCATGAGTTGTACCCAAAATTCATTTGCATCTTGTTGCATCATATGACCATGATCATCTTTTTCAGCAAAACGTGGAAATTCACGATGAATTGATGTAAGCAATATTAATGGCATATATGGTTCACTTGTTCCATCTAATTGTTGATATGTTGTTTTTAAGGCATTTGCTATCATTTGTGTTCCATCAATCATCATAGCACCTTGTCCACGATGTGTTGGATGATACTGTTTAACAGCATCACGTAATTCAGGTACACTTTTGAGACATTGTAATGTAGCATTCATATAACAAGTATTACCTAATAAATGACAAAATGATTGTCTATTAAGTCGTCATTATCATATATTCACAAGTTGCGAACAAAGTCTCTTTGAAATGTGAAGCTTTCACACAATAGTTGTTGTATAAACTATCGATGAAAAAGGGTCTATATTTTTGAAAGTCTTCTATCTCGAAGAGCCTTTGTTTACAACTTGTGAGTATTTCTATGGAAGCTAATCTAATTGAGTTCTCAATATGTGCAAAGTTTGAGATCAAAATTTGAAAAAAACAAGTATTCAGAAAAACTTTGAACCTCTAGAAAATAGACATCTTAAAAATTCGATAGTTTAGTCAATAGTAATAAGAACTCAAATCCTTGTACAATTTTTTGTTAGAACACTCTGTAGTCTCTATAGACAATAGATTACTGATATCGGACAAAAGCAGCTGAAGAGGTTTCCCTCGTTAGTGCCATTATGAAAATCTTAAAACCATTTATGATCATGTCCTATTCGTCAAATGTTATAGTCATTTTATTGGCTTTTCAATCTAGAAAACAGTATCTACAGGAAAATCAAATTGAAATATTTTTATCCGGAGTTCTATTCATAAATATGTTTAATGAATCCTCTAGCATGTACTAAAATTTTCAGTCAAATTAGATCTTTCCTTCTCGACATATTGAATTTTCAGAATAATTCTATTATTGTGATTGATTTTTTTTATCATAGAGCATTTTGTGAAAGTTCAACAGCTCGAGAAGGAAGTATATGTTTGTCTTAAAAACTTTTGTATACACTAAAAATCATTAGACAAATTTACGAGAACAATTTAAGATAAAAATACCTTAGTGGAGTTTCCTGCAGATATTGTGCCCTTGGTCCAAAATTCAATAAATCGATTATAGCATTGGACGAATAGGCTATGAACATGAACGGTTTTAAGATTTCCATAGTGACACTGAGTTGTATTTACGAGTAGAAGACCAGCTCAAAAGTAAGGAAATAATTAGGATATGTCGCTCAGTAGTTGTTTTATTCTCGTATTATTTTAAAAAGTTCTTACCAAGATTCTTAAGACCACCCGGATATTGTAAATGTTGAGCAAGTTGTGCTTCAGTCATATCTTCTAGAAACTTGACTTTTTCCGTTGGAAGTTCAGGTACTGGATCAGCGGAACCCATCATTAAAAGTGTTAGACCATTTGTTAAATTAACTTTTCCCCATGTTTCATCACCAATTGTTTGTCCTTTCACCATAATTTTTTGTCTTTCAGTTGGAACATTTGTTAATGAAAATAATTGAGCTTTAAGAACAGCTGGTGGTAATGACGTATCAACTTCAACATCTTTCAACAATTCTTTATTCCATTTAACATTAACTTAAAATAACAAAAAAAAAAAAAACTCGAAGTGCATTTAAACTAAAATTATACTTCTAATCTTACTTTTGACTGAAGTCATTATGAAGTTATCAATTTCAATATATTAATCTAAACAACAACAAATATATATATACATATATATTTATGGCATTTTTCTCAATCTTTAGAACAATAAAAATGTAATATTATACACAAAACATGGTGGCACTTTTTTTCCTGTATAGTACATATAAAGAAAGATAGCAATTAGAATACGTCACAGACACAGATGAACAACAAACGTTAATTTATAGCAATGAGAAAACAAAACGAAAGAATAAGAGCACGGAACGTCGAAATATTACAAAAAAAAACGTGCTAACGATAAAAGTGAGAAGAAAAAAAATCAGATCTAAAAAATATGAGAAAATTGCACGAATGTGAAAAAAAAACAAAAAGAAAATCGCACCATTAACACAAACAATACATATGTATATCTGAACATAATTAGATATTAAATAACAGATGATGGGAGTTTATCATAAGGTGGCGCAGGAGATGATGCAGGCGGCCGTTGACGAGGTAATGTACTATGCTGGGGAGAGATTGTTGTTTGTTTTAATTGTGGTTGAGAATTTGTATGATTATTAGTTAATGTTTGAAGAACTTGAAGACAATCTCCATTAGCACATTGAAGAGGTGTACGACCATGACTATCCTTTACAAATGGATCGGCACCATACTGAAAGAAAAAAATTTTTAATTGGTGTTACAAATTTAATAACTTTTGTTTATTGAATATTGTCAGATGGAAGATTAAATCTCTATTATGAATAATGTTTTCGAAAAAGCAAGTCTATATCAATTTACTTAACGACGAATGGAACCCATGTATAACTTGTCAATCAAACTGATATTTTGCTCATAAGTAGGTGCTGATAAGGCTAGTAAAAGCCTGTCAGAGTTTGGCCTCATGTATCAGATCTTCTCCACAATGATGGAATAAGTCTCCGAATTGATCCCATCTCTGCTTCTTAAGGTATTACAATTTAACTTAATTTTTTTATCTCTAGCAAGGTACCTCTGAATCAAAAGAATCATGAAATTTCGCCCATAGATAGGTCTTGTGAATTTTAGGATGTTCTGAAAAATTCAGTTTAAAGAAAAATGTTCTTGAGATATTAAATCTTGAAGACATCGGGCTTTCTCATCTGTTCTTCTGATTCATAATTATTTTTTGATATTCAATTGCTCAAGAAAAACGCTTCCTTTTAGGCTGAAATTTTCAGCTTGAAAATCCGTAATTCAATGATTTCGCAAATACTATGTCAAAGAAAAAAGATTCAGTAAAATTGTAATAACTTAGGAAGGATAATGCATGGAGCAGACCATTACGTCCTTCTAGTAATCATGTCAGGATCTAATTGTAAGCAAGAAATCAGTTCGACTGGCAAGTCACACATGAAGACATCCTTTAGTACGATAAATGGATATCACTTAGACTAATAAGGGAACATTTTCAACTGCCGAATCGCTTTCGAGTTTGAACTCTGTGCATTAGGTAGATTCAATAGATGTATGAAAAACTTCGAAAAGATAAATTTTCTAACGCCTTCTGTTCAGAGTTATAGACATTTTATCCATAAATGGACATGTTTGTGAATATATACCATGACATGCGCTAAAATTGCAGTAAAATGTCTATAATTCTAGACAGAAGGCCTTAGAAAATTTCTCATTCTGAGATTTTCTATACGTCAATGAGATCTACCTTTTGCACAGAGGTCAAACTCAACAGTGATTGAGCAGTTGACAATGTTTCATCGTTAGATTTGAACATTTTCCCGACGAATTCATTGTGAAACTCCGTACAAGCTGGAATGTTGTAATCCAGTAATAGTGTCTATGATTTGTAGAAAACAGCATACGTATTCTTTGAGTCAGTTTGTATTTTATATAGTATAAACTATGAGGAATCAATTTGAAATTCCATCATTTAAAAATTTACAATGTGTAAAGACTGGAAAGAGTCGATTTAAGAAATATTGCACTCTGCTAGTAGTCAAAACTGCAAGAAGTTGTATTTACTAACTGGAACATATTATTTTATATGAAGCTTCATAGAGAATCCTCTGGAAAAAAGCTTAGTGTCTACTATAACAACATTGAAGTAGCCATTTTTTATCAATATAGAAAATGATCACCTAATCACTCGTCAATATTCTGATCTAATTATTGATATTTTAACTTAATTTTCAATAAAAAGACATGCTCATAGATGTTTATCATGGAAATCGAATAATTTTTTCGATGATTATGAAAAGAAATAGAATTCATTTGTTAAATTTTCAATTGCTAAATCTTGATTTTAATTGTTATAATTACCCAAAGGAGAAGTTGTAAAATGGTAACATTGCCTTGTAAAGCAGCTAAATGTAACAGTGAAGAATTAAGATCATCCGTTGATATTTTTCTATGAGCTAATATAAGTATAACTGTATACAAATCTTCTTCGTTTATAGCATCAATAAGTGATTGTCTTGCTTGATTAGGTAAAATTGTTAATGGTGCAATAAATAATTTTTGTTCATATTTATCTCTAATCCATCGTTCACGTTCAGAACTTAAAAAACAAAATAATTAAAATAGGACTAGGGTGAAATTCGGAGTGTGAAATGTGTGATAAAGACATTTCGAAAGTCAATGATTGAAAAATCGTTGTTATGATTGAGTACGCAATGTTTTTTCTCAAAATATTGAAATTAGGATTTTTTTGTCCTGTTGATTTAATCAGAAAAGTTACGCTTCCATCATTTAGCAAGTTTGAAAGAAAATTAAAAAGTATATATGGTAAAATTCATTACTTCGAGAAATCTATTAAAGAAAATAAACATGTCAAATTGTTTCTAACGAGTACTGTTGGATCATTCTCTATTATTAGCTGTTCTCACAGTTTACCATAACTCAATAGACATAGTAAATTTTTTTGTTTCTGCATGTGATTGATAGAATGTATGTTCCTCACATGATAAAGGTTGTTATTACTGACGGGACTTGAAATAGGTGATTACAGCTCAGAATAAGAAGATTCTCATATAGAAAGGTTTTAGTGTATCATGAAATACGAAATCTGTTTAAATTTGAATTATTTTAAATGTCGGAAAAAAATTGCTTTTTTTATTGTGTGAATCTCCTCAGGTATGGTGAATCTGATCGTAAGTTGGAGTAGTGCTCCCAAGAAAAAACGGTCGACCTATCAGAAAAACTAAATGAAGTTTGAAATATAGAAAAATAGCAATGAAATATTGGACAACACAGCTTGTCTGCCGTTCAAGCTTGGTATAGTTTTAAAAAACAGGTGATAATTTATTTCCTACTTTTATTGCCCAAGTACACTTGCCGTAATTTTCTGCTTGCTATAGGGAAGGCTTGATAGATTCTACTACCCTAGCTCTCTATAATCAAATGGAATCCTCTACCAAAACCAATTTGATCTTGATATTTTATATCTCGTGTTTCAACCAAAATTTCTTAATTTTCCTTTCTCAAAATCATCATGTCGTCAAATGACAACTTTCTACGGATATACCTGACAAGAATGTAACGAAAACTCTCGACGCACTAAACCATTTCCAGAAATAGAAAACCACTTGCCCCCCCCCCTCCCCGTTTTCAGATACTCAAGAGCTTCTGCTATAATCCCCACTTTGTCTCAGTGTTTAAGTTATTAGTTCCGGATGCCTCTATTGCAACAAGAGATTTGCTATATAGATGTTTCGTATTTTAAACATTCGCGTTAGTCAACTTAAATGCTGAAGTTTTAAATTGCATTAATTAAAACTTACGAAGAAGTATTTGGTTGAGGTTTAATTCGATTTTTGATATTTATTTCCCATATAGAATTGACTAGTTTATTTCCAATTGAACGCATTACTTGCACAAGTTCCGATCTTTTGAAAAAAAAAAAAGGTAACATTTCATTTAGAATCAAACATAAATTCTTACGGCCATTCATCCAATTCAAGCGATCGAACACGTGATAAATGCGTACCAAGATTTCTATGTAATGATGCACAATCCATACAAATTAAAGAACCAAGATTTAATGAAGCCCATGTTGGATCTTAAAATAGAAAATGTAATCAAATAATTGAATTGAAAAACTTTCTTACTTATTTGATCACAATCTGCACAAAAATTATTTCCTGATATTTGTTTAATGGCTTGTACGGTTGCTGAATCAGCTATAGTTGGTCCACCTATTTTAGCTGCTCGTGCTGCTTTTGAAGATTCAATATTTTGTATGCTAAATAAAATTTGTTGTTCAATAGCTTGTACCCATTCATCACGTTCTTCATTGGATTGTGCTTCAAAAAACCATTGTTTATCCAATGATACAATTATAAAAACATTTTCATCGCCATCATCATCACCGCCATTTGTATTTGATATTGATTTTGGTGTTGCAAAATTATTTATTGAATTATTTACAGTTGATTGTTGATTACGACGATGGCGTTTCTTTGCATTTGGTGTTTCAACTTTTCCTAATAGAAAAAGATAATTAAACTGTTCAGAAACACAGTTGTGAATTTTACCTGATGTATGTGATAATGAATCTGTTGATGTCATATCATTCAATTTGTTATCATTACTTGAACTACGTAGAGCAATACGAGGTTTATTTGAACCTGGAATTTTAATTGATGTACGTTGAAGAATTATTTCTTTTCCATGAGAATCATTTTCATAATCCTAAGACAAAAAAAAAGGAAATTCTAAACACTTTTCTTTTTTAAATAGAAAAGTTTTAGTTTACATGTAATGATGGATGATAAATTATTCGACCATCATCTAATAAAACAACATATTTCTTTTTCCAATCTCGATTAATACTATTGGTTCCTTTTTTATATAAAAAACCCTGAAAGAAGAATAATTAAATATGAAATAAATTTTTTATATCAATATTTAAAATTAAACCTGTTTAATTGGTATTGCTCGACCATGTCCTAATCGTTCTGATTTATTTTTATCTTCATCTTTTTTTCCAGGCTAAAATAATAATCAATACATTGAAAATTTAAAAAGAAAGATATTTTGATATGTGAACAGATGGACATAGTTACTAATCTCTGTTCAAAAGTATAATGGCCGTGAATATTTTTGCAAAAATTCAAGAATGAAAAGAGCTAAAGACTTGCGGATTGCCACTATTCGAGAGAGACGAACCGGGACTATGAAAGTTTATTGAAATTTCATTGGTCAATCAGGTGAGTTCCTTGAACAGATCTTCGAAAACGAAATTTTGAATATGTTTTCCTTCATGCTGAGTCGAATGGTAATATAGGTTTTTAGATTCGAAATAATCTGATACTGTTATTTCAATTATTCGGAAATGTCGATTCCTTTGCTGCATGGAAACTAATTGTTGAACTTCAACAATGTTGAGTTAACAAGGTCAGATCATTTCGGCTAGTTGACTGAAATCGGGAATCTCAGGACAAGTCTTGTAACTCCTGAACGGAACAAGCTAAGAATGCCTGCCATGCATAGATCGGAATGGGAGATTTTTTTTCTATCAATTAGTTTTCTTAAAAGTTTAAAGTAAATAAAATAAAATTGAATATAGTACGAAATAGAGAAAAAGGATTTAGGTCTTTAAAAAAATCTTACTGTAAATAAATTTGATTTTCTTTTTGTTTCTTTTCTTTTTTGTGTTGGTGTTAATTGGTCATTTGTATCAATTCTTGATTGTGCTTCATATACAGGTAACAATTGTGTTTCACTAAGTGTTGATAATTTTGCTCCTAATTGCTCTTTAAATGATCGAGTACGTTTATCAATTTGTGGCTGCTGCTGCTGTTGTTGTTGATTATTTCGATCTTTAAGTACACCATTTAATGTTTGAGTATTAACACATTGAGCAAGTTGTGCAATAGCTAAATTTTGTGTTGGAGGTGAAATAATAGGTGGCTGTTGATCATAATGATAGGACGAAAATATTGATGCTGGTGTTGCTTTAGTTGAATTGATATTACCAGTCATATGAGAAGATTGTGGAACACTTTGAGAACTTGTTAAAACTCGTAGTTGATTTGATATTGGTGATTGTTGTTGAGATGATATTGAACGATTGGAGGATAATGTTGAAGTCGAAAAACCATATCGTTGTTGAACAACTTTTTGACAAACTAAAATTAAACAAATTTAATTAAAGAAAAGCACGAATTGTTAAGGCATGAAATCGGTCTCCTTTTGAAATTGAGTTTCTGATGTGCTGAATAGTCAATTAAGATATCAAGAGTCAAGTGTCGTTCAAACTCATCATAGGTGAACACGGCTGACTCAAAACTCGATATTATTGATCTCCTATAAAAGATATCCCATAATAACTGATAATAAATTGTTAATGATACATTTCATACTTTTTCTTGACATAGAGAGCAGAAATTTTTATCAAATATATATCTAATCAAGATATTTTATTTCTGAACGTTTCAGCTCTCTATCTATAACCACTGGTGAAATAGATTCACAAGTTTGAAATACATAAATTTTCGTACTCATTTTTTGTATTTTATTTTGACAATGAAAATAATTCAAAAATTGAATACGAAAACTTGAGCATTTCAGTCTTGTCCATGTATTTCACCATTAGTTATAGCTAGAGGGCTGAAACTTTCAGAAATGAAAGATCTTGATTAGATATATATGTGATAAAAATTTCTGATCTATATGTCAAGAAAAAGTATGACGAATATCATTAACAATTTATCATGAGTTATTATGGGATACTCTTGAGCGTTATGTAATGCAATATTAATATGGAAATTGGATTATAACAAAATATTGTTCTTTTCCTTTTTCATTTACCTGAGATTGTTGAGTTGTATGTGCAATCTGAAACATCCACACTAAAACTCTCTCACTATTGAGCTGTGGAAGTAGCGACCCAATTTGAATTATATATTATTCGATAGGCTTTTCAAAGCTATAGAAGACGATACTATTTCATCAAGATTAACTTACGGCCAAGAAATATTAATCGAATGCATAATGATCGCGAAAATTAAAAAAAAGTTGCGTGTTTTGATGAACATTGAATCGTTTTGGTTAGAATAATCAGACTTTCAATCAAGATAAATGATATATTTTGAATCAGCATAAAGAAGCTGAGTCAATCTATATGTGTCGTATAATCCACAGACAAATTTTATTTTTATCAAAAAATAAAGTTAGTCAATGTACTGTTTTTATTATTTTTTGATCTGCCATTTTGGATTTTCTTTGATTTGTAAAAACTTAGAATTTATTTTTCGCAGTCAAGTTGAAATTTCCACGGACTTTATTTTTCGACGAAAATAAAATTTCTCGATAGATTATATGACACATAGATCGACTCAGAGTTTTATTTCAATTCAAAATATATCATTTATTTTGATAGGAAGTCTGATTATTCTAACCAAATCTGATTAAATATTAGTCCCATATAAATACTGCATTGCGTAATGTTATAAGAGATCGATAATGTCGAGGTTTAAGTTAGCCGTGCGCATCCATAATGAATTAGAATAGTAATTGACTCCTGACATCTTAATTGACTATTCGGAAAACCGAGAACTCAGTTTCAAGAGGGAGCAGATTTCATTGCTTAATGATCGCATCCCGTCTTTGTTTATTTGTTTCTTTTTTTCTAATTCTTACCATCATGAAATACTCGTTCCACATTAAGACCATACGTAGCACATGTTTCATAATATGTACAATGTTTAAGTTCATTTGCTAATTTTCTCGCTCGATCTTCATGTATAATACGTGGATTACTTTCACTAATTGCGTCTTTAAATAGAAAATTGGTTATTTTATTTCTTTTTCAATAAAAAGTTTTTTTTTTGTTAACCTTGTGTTCCTACAAGAATTAGTGGCATGTCACTGATATTTCTATAATGATTCATTTTTGTATAATATTGATAAATTGTTTTAAAACTTTCTTCATTTTCTAAACTAAATACAAATATGACAGCATCAACCCAATGCGTAAACTAAAATGACAAAAATAGATATTTCATTATAAAACAAGATTTTATTAATTTTTTACTTGTGAATCTGGTGCATTAGCTTCATCTCGTATAAGCAATAAATAACTTTGATTGTCAATAATAATTTCTTTTTTAAATCTTCCACCTTCAGGTGAGTCTTCTTGCATATAAATACCAGTTAAAAATCTATGCACTAAAGCAGACTTTCCACTTGATATTGTACCTAATAACCCAATTCGAATATCTAAAACATTTCGACTTAAGGTCCATTCTTGACTGTTCACAAATGAGTCTAATATGAAAGAAACAGACGTTTTTGATGAGAAACTTTTTTTTTTTTTTCAAGAAACAAACCTTCGATAATCATAACATGTTCACGAATATGTGCTTGAGTACTTAATTGATCTTTAATCTCATCGATTAATTCATATATTGAATAAATCGATGGATGTACACCTTCAAAACGTTCAATTTCAGATTTAATAAAACTTGAATTTGTCATTTGAAGTTGAGAATTTATTGCTGGCATTGTACCAAAATTATTCGAAGACGTTTGATTATAATTCGACATGATTAAATAAGTTTCTTAAAGAAAAAAAAACAACAAATTATAGTACAAAAGTCAATCAATCGTCTTTGATTGTGAGTAACTTTTCATAAGAATAAAATAGAGAAAGGTGCAGATTTCACAGTTCGAAAGAGGCTGGATTCGAAAAAATTCGTTAATGACTGAATTATTAGTCAGTAGACTTTAGAAAAGAAATACTCATAGGTCTATGAAGATAACACAAAAGTTTAATTCTAAGAAATGAGCGAGATCCGCTTTCAGACCCGAAATTTTTATCATGATCCTTTTAAGAGTTATAAGTACAACAATAAATAGTAGAGACCATGCATTGGACTCTGAAGGAGTTGTAGTTGATAAAAATAATAAAAACTCTATATCATTCTTGTCTTATGCCACATTTATTTTCGATAATTTTAGCATCCGGCAAACGAAACCTATCAATTCAATAGCCATATAATATGAAATATGAAAAAATAAAATAAAAGAAAGCATTTACACTGTATTAACTTTTACAAGTGATTATTTCAAAAAGAAAAATATCAACAACGTTCAATATCTCCATTTTTGTCATTAGTTGGTGTTTTCATCACCCTCACTTGACCTTAAATTACATAAGGATGCGTAGTTTATGGGCAGTGAGTCCACCGCCACATTGGAACGGTGTTTGCTGAAACATTGGCATAGCTATACAGTATGAACATATCAGGAAAGGTAGTGAACACGGATTCTATGTAGACAATGCGAGTTACTGATGAACAGTTTATTGAAACTGCACATCCCTAAAATTATATAATACTGCCGAACCCATAAGCTGTTGTATTTTTACGAGAAAAAAAAAGTGAAGTCGGAGTTGAAAAAAAACAAATGACTCTGCAAGTCTCTATTAGACGATAAGAATGTGAACCGTATGCACTCGAATCTAATGAATTTCTTAGATTTTAACTTGTGTTCATCCCCATAGAGTTATCATTATTTACCTATAGCTCACTAAATGCAATTCGGTCATTAACCGATATTGTTGAACCATGCAGTGGAACCATTTCGTTGGAAAGGTGAAGGTCGTTGGTATCTATTTTTTTTCTTATCAAAAGTTACTCGCAAGAAAAAAACTAAACGATGATTTTTGGATAAGCCTGTGTATATTTAAAATACAAGTAGAAAATAAAGATTTGACTTATATTTCAATAGTCTTATATTTATTCACTATTTCACATACTCAATAGTCGATGAATATATGGCAAAACTCTTTTACTCTAAAAGGTTAATGGGAAATGAAATTTTCGTACTTTGATAAAAAGATAAATTTTGTTTTAGGAGAAAATGCATTAATGTATGTTTACTAAATGAAAATAATATCTTGTGGAGAATTTCATAGTAATATTTTATATATCTTTCAGGTTGAATTAAATATTTTACGTAGGACTTTTTTTCTTATAGTTACAGCTCTCGGCAAAAATGTTTCATATCTTGTCACAGAAGTCTAATATCATAATGAACTTCTCTCATTGAAAAAATCCTAAATGACAGTCATATACTCCAGTAAAATAGTCTACATAGCAATTTGTTCAGAACATAAAAGTAATTCTCTTCATATTTGTCCTTCAAAACTACGAATATTGTAATGTAATTGATCACAAATAATACCGTATATAAATATTAGGTCATGGATTGACTAGGTGTTTTTATCAGCATAGAGAAAATATTATTTCATTGGCTTATGAAAAAGAACAAGTAGAAAAAAAATAAAATTAGTCTTTTTTCGTCATGAGAAGAAAGTCGCATTAATTGAGTCATGCAGTATGATTATCGACTGAGAAATAGATTATAAATACTTGCAATTTTCTCAAATTACGTCTAAGGACATACGTTTAGTAATTACTTATGGAAAATATGTTTACATTATTTCATAAATTTATCTTGATCATACAACGAATGGTGACATTTGATTTAGTTTGTAGTGTATAATATACAAAGAAAACAAACCAAATTGAAAATACGCTTTTAATATTATTTTCTCTTATACTTACAAAAAGTAATTTATTTGAATGGTTGTCACTGTTAACATCTGAATAAAAGAAAGAAACGAATATGAAACTATTTTTGTACTTTTTCACTTACAAATCATTCGAGCGTAGAGAAAGAAGCAGTAGATAAATCAATTAATTTTAAGGAGTAATGGTGGCATTTCAAGATGGCCGATCAATTCTGGTAAAATACTAAACCAATGAATAGCAAGTGTCGTTGTTTTGCTATAATTTTTTTTTACTAAAATTACCTAATAGATATTAAATCTGATTTTTTTGTTCTTTTAGAAAAATCGAAAAATAAAAATAAAATTTTCAACTGACATCTATAATTCTTGAATTATATGTCGTGTACTAGATCTTACATCTTTATTTATTTGAAGTCATGTAAAATGAGCTGAAATTAGGACTAAGTAGTTAAGCTAATCTAAAATCAAAATATTGCATTCGAAAACATACCATGGTTATTTATGATCCTGCGAACCAATACGAAAACATTCCAATTTTTACTTTTATGCATCCCTGAAGTGTTTAACATAGGCGTATATAAGTCATGTATATAGGAGTCGCAGTGGCCTATTTGTTGAAACCAAACAAAACAAGCAGGAAAATCTCTCAGGAATTTCAATAAAAACTAGAATATTGTAAAATCTATTTCATTGTTTTTGTACAAGACAAGCTCTGCATATAAGTAGATAGCTTAACTATAAATTCATGACACTTGTTTTCCTCTTCTCTACCCCCTCCCCCCTTTTCCTAGCAGTTACTCACGTCACGTTTCTTCTCTAATGCCAATAAAAATAATATATCTTATAATTACAAGTGAAACACCAATGAGCCACGATATTTCACTCTTACTTCGGAGTACTGAAGCGGTTTTCCTTTCTATATATTTCTTGGGTTGTTACATATGCGTAGATCTTTTCAAGAAGTTTTTCATGATTACAGCTTACGAGAGAATCTCCAAGGGTGTTAAACAGTTTTTCGGTCGAAACGACGTTCGTCTCATGAGTAATAGAACATTCTAGAATGGCTTGATTTTTCGAGTTTTCATTCTTGAGTTATCGAAATTTTACTACGTTCTTTGAATATCTTCAGGTCACATCAAAAATCGACTTCTATCTTCAAACTTTGTATGAACAAAGTTTTAATGAGATTAGTTCTTTGGGCAATGTGTAGTTTTCCTAGTATCTCCTATCCTGAGATATTCAACACTTGAAGTTCTCTCATGTGTAAAAGCAAATTTTGTCCAGATTTGTAATTCTCAAGCAAAAAAAAAATACTTATTGCACAATGAACTATTTGCATTAGGAACGTTGTTCATGCAAAGTTTGAAGCCGAAACTCGAAAGTTAATTTTCTACGTGATCTGAGGCATGTTGCAACTTTTTATTGGAAAATCCAATAAAATTTCAAAGTATCAAGAGCAAAGGCCTAAAAAATCCGCCTAGTCTAGATTTTTCTATTACTCATCAAAAGAACGTCGTCTCAGGTAAAAAGCAATTTCACACCTGGATAGGTTCTTCTGTTAATTCGTATCAATTGGTTTATTTAATGACGACATTATACAGAAATAAAATCGAAAAATAAAAAAATTGTGAAAATTTGCATTTAATAGATTGCTAAAGTAACAATACAGATAAATTTATATAGAATTTTACGATGATTTTAAACATTTGGTTCGAAACGATGAAAATGTCTGGTATCAACGGAAAGCAAGACATGCCATTCTTGAAGATCAAGCTGACATCAATAACGGTTACTAATGTAAAACTAACTACTTTGAAACCTCAATCACTTGAACACTACTTAAAATCAATTACGAAAGAACACAAAACAAATAAATAAATAAATAGTTGAAACAAATATGATATGAACATTAATTATATCATTCTCTCTTGGTGGGAATTATTCTATACATATTTTGATAAAAATCTTGAAAATAAATTAATTATAAAAGATAACACGTTATAATTGTGTAGGCATAGTCCTATACCGACAAATCGCAAAACGTCAGGAAAGTAGTATCGCTGCTATGCGTGATACTGTATATATGCAAGAGCATAACTGTTGAGGTCCATGAAGTCTCCCTGCTTTTGAACATTGTTCCAACAGCACCGCTTTTGTCTCGGGCTCAACCACCCTGCTCATCCTTCTGTCTGCGGTTTAACTTATGATATTAGCTCAGGAAGTCGATACTGTAAGAGTTTCCTCGTTTTTTTTAAGTTTATGTTTTGCCTACAAGGAGGGCTCAGTGGGACTTAGATGGTGTCAATAGTGTTCAGATGCATGCTCTGTCAGTTAAAAATTACAGCCGTAAGAGTAAATTTTCAATCTAGAATAAGATCTCTAGAGCAAAGCAAAATAAACGTGTTTCTATTTGAAATTCTATTCATCTAGAAAATTCATAATTTGTAGTACGCAAAAGTGAATGCTTATTTCTCAAGATACGAACTTCTCATAATGGATGCATTCTTTGTCATCTATGTCTTGTAGGAAAATATTCTTTGAAAATCGAATACCTTGAGAAGAAAAGCATCCGTCTTGGCTGTAGATTTTAGTGCATGATAGAAATCATAAGATCTGTTGATGAACAGATTTTCAGATCGAAATACTATGACTTCACATTGCTCTAAAGATTTTACTCTACACCAATAATTCACCTGCACTACTTTAATGTTTGACGAAGAGGTAATCGACACGAACAATGCTAAACCATTTATTATTAAGTAAAAATATCAGATCCAAATCAAACAACTGACATATCTTTCGTTCTCTCGATAGTACTAATTAACTATAATATTTGAAATTGATAACTGTCACAATGAGTCAGAAATATTAATAAAATTGCAATTTTCTGATCTATATTCTTCATTATGTTAAACTGATAAAATACGATAAAAAAAATGGTAGAGGAAATGTTGATCCTATACTTTCTTTGATCAACACATATCGCAACAGAAATGTTTTCTTAACGCCA